AAAAAAAAAAAATCGAATTTTTGAAAAATTTGGTCGGCGGGTAATGCAAAACGAAAAATTAACTTTGCGCGGCCTAAGCGTGATGTAATATTTTCATATTAACCATAATTGAGCCATTTAATTTTACTATACAGTCTGAAATATATTCGCATTTTGATAATACTGATCTTGAGCACGTATCATAAATGGACCACCTCTTATCTCCAGATTATCGTTCTGAAAAAGGTTCATTTTTTTTCGGATCCAAACATACACAAATTCTTGGTTATATGCTAGTCTTTTTATTTTCACATTACACTTAGCCTAAGATGCAACTCAAATCGCAGACAACAAAAAAAAAAAAACAGCAGAAATCATATACAGCTAACCTTGCTTTTATTAAAGATGAAAAGGATACATTAAATTCAATATAAAATGCAGATAATCAAACCGCTATTCATCACCGAGTCCCAATCAATTACCCAACATTTGAGTGATTCTTTGAGATCTTGTCTCCGGTTCTTCTATGCTTTGTAGCTTGTCTACAAGCATAGCGCGAAGAACCGAAAACAATGCACTCAAATCTTCTTTTAATGATTCGTCGCTTATCTGTTAGTTACTTAATCGTATGTTTATAGGGTCCCTTACGGTTCCAATTCGATTATTGGAGGTTACCACGGTGAAAAACCACTTATCACCAGTAGTAACAACCCCATAAACATACTCCAATTCGTCATACTTACTTTTTCGACTTGTCTATATAGTAGTTAAAAGATTAATTTAAGTAAAAATCGATAATAAATGCAATTAACAGTGTTGTGTGATGCCTTAAATAATTACTCACTTCGCATGCGCTTTGGAGTTGGATTAAATTTTGACAAAATCCATACTCTACATTTTGCATTTTAGCCTCAATTATACAGAGAATGTCCGTTCTCCGTTGAATGGTAAAATCCAGTTTTCCCTTACCATTAAAACCAGATAACGGACATTCTCTGTTTACTTTTACATCATCATCAAACGTCAATACAATACCTCGAAGGATGGTAAAAATAAAATCAGCTTTTTCGGTCTCGTTGGCACAATTGTCAATTGTGCCGCTTGTTCGCATAATTATCTTCAAAAACAAAGATCAAATTAGTATTTGATTGGCCTTTCCGATCATTAATACTAGTGATGTGCATCATGCGCATGGGAATATTTCGAGCTTTTGGAACATATTGGAATCTCAAATTATGGTCTGCATTAGCAGCAAGCTACCATAATGCGGGCCAAAATTTCATGCGCATGATTTGCACATCACTAATTAATATCAATACGAATCTTTCTTCTTACCTTGATATATTGTACAATGGACATTAAAATGTCATCATACAAACCCATATTTTCCGCTGAATCTAGGAAACAAATTCAAAAATAAGATAAAATAAAAATAAATAAACGCAATATGCACGTAATAACACACATAGGCATTATTTTGAAAAATCGCTTTTTGAAAATTGCATAACAATGCTTTCAAAATAATGCGTCTGAACTAATGTGTGCTATTTCATAAGTTACTACTTACCAATTTTTAATCGTGGTAATTCATTTATTCGTTCAGCGCTTATCCCAAATAGTTTCCCTATTTGGGATAAGCGTTTATAAGACGAGAAATCTTTTTGAGCTATATTGTAATTGAAGTGTTATTAGTTATACTAAATAATTTAAACCGCTTCAACATAAAATAATAATAATTATACTTACAAAATTTCAGTTGAAGCGTAATGGTTTTTAGGCCGTTATCATTTCCTGAAATGTCCTCAAAGAGCATTTCGAAATCTTCTTCGTTGGCGATGGTGACATTTGAATCCTTTGACAATAATTCAAAGGACTCTTCGTTGACATCTTCCAAAATGTCACCAAAAACAGTCATAATTTTTTTTTTGAGGTTATCCCAAAATTAATTACCTTAACGTTAAAAATAAATCTTTGCTTGTACTTTCCATAAATAATTTCAAATACGAATGGTTTTCTCTAAAAAAAAAAAAAAATTATAAAAGAAATTATTAGTATTTATTTTTCAATAGTAATAATTAAAAGTAAATCATCCGATATAAAAGGATATATATTAATTTTTTCTTGAAGTAATAAATAATATGATATTTTGACCGTTTAAGTTATAATTTCGTTTAATGTCTCTTTCGAAGCTTAAGCAGTGGGGAGGAGGTCAAATTAAATAAACACTATATTAAGCCTCAACAAATTTTCCATTAATATTGGTTGGTCATCCGCCACGCGATTTACCAAAAATCTCAAGAATGTAATGAGCATCCTGATTGTTTGTTTAATTTCAGAGGAGAGCGGTGGGAGAACACTAAACGAAATTGTAATCTGAAACGGTCTTATCTTGAGACAGGCAATTCGCAAATTTGAAATTTATTGTACACAATATAAACTAGTATAAAATTACGTACTCGTGAATTTGAAATTTGCTGGTTGCCTGGGTGAGCTTCATCCTCTTGTACTGTAATTTGCTGGTTGTCTGGGTGAGCTTCATCCTCTTGAGTTTGCTGGTCGTCTGGGTGAGCTTCGCCGTTAATTGAGGTTGTTTCTTCACCGTTTTGTCTAGATAATTATTAAAAAAAATTTTTATGTTATATATATATATATAGATAGTTAGATAGATATAGCATATATATATATATATTGTCATGGCCGATACTGAAATTTGGACCTATTTCGATATGACCAATTAAAAATTTTTTTTTTGAGACGTTGTTTTTTGCATATATTAGGTCGGGTTAGGGTTTTGATAATTAAAGTGCATATGAGAATTTTAATGGTGCAAATCGAGGTCCCAAATTTCCGTCAGCCATATATTGTAATTCTAATCTAATTACATACCCTTTCCAAAATTTATTAATTTGGGCTTTTTCGGTTTTAGTATAATGACCTACTTTAAATATCAGTTAAAAAATTTGTAAATTAGTGATACGTTAAAACCTTAGTTGCAATCACAATTAACAATATACGCAAGAACTATCTAAATGCTAGCTATCAGTGTCGCAAATAGGGATTAGAACCGCCTAAAATTTTTCACCGTTTAACCGTTTAACTTGGCCAGCATTAAGATAATTCCGGCCCACGACAAACATAAGTCTGCCCGGAATTATGGAACAATTTTTAAACGGTTAAACGGCTCCAATCCCTAATCGCAAATAGTACCATCGTGTTAACAGCTTGCATTTAGAAAGATCCAACTCGTTATTTTTTAGCCTTACATTGATTGACCTTAAGGCCTTTTTCCTTTTTGTCGGTATATTATCTGCAATGTGTTGGAGATTTTCTTTGTATTCTTTTTTCTCGGTAGCGAAATCACGTAATATATTCTTGGCTTTACAATATTTTGAATAACCTAAAAAGGTCCATTCGGATTTTGTATCGAAATAACGATAATGGGGGCTGTAAACGAAAAATTAAAGCTTATAAGTTATATTTAGATTAAAATTTTAAATATTCGATAAACTATTACTTACTCTTCACGTTGGTTTTCCTTATTATTTCCTCCTTTCATTCTTAAAATTTGGAAGTATATTTGCCGGGCAGAAAAACGAAAGTTAAGCGTGTGGAAAAAAGAACAGATGAGAAGAGCGAAAAAATGAAGATAAGTGGTGTGAAAGTAAAAAAGTTGAGTGAGCAGAAAAAAAGAAGTTAACAGGGTGGATTAAAGAATATTAAGCGGAGCGAAAAAAAGGAATATTAAGCGAAGCGGAAGAAAAGAATGTTAAGCGGGCGGAAGAAAATTAATTAGAGTGGAAAAAAAGCTTAAGTGAGTAGAAAATAAGAAAATTAAGCGGAACAAAAAAAAGAAATACGAAAGTTAATCAGAGAGACGAAAGTTAATATGAGCAGAGAGATAAGTGTTAATCTAAGCAAAGAGATAAGTGTAAACAATTTTCAAAAAACATCAGTCAAAAAAGTAGTTCATA